AACTCTCACGATTTGGGAAGGTACAGATCTATTCATGTAGAGTTTTCTGGAGTATATTAAACAGCATTGATCATTTGTTATATGATGCAAAACAATACACGCAAAAACAGCACCTCAAATCTCTATCCCTTTAGTATGACAGAGGCAACTTATGGGGTGATGTAGCCAGCAGGGGTGAAAGAAACTGCAAAGTAAGTTTGTTTTTTATATCCAGCTCCATCCAGGGATCTCAAAGCAGCTGAGTACAATGTCCTCCCCAGCTTTTTCACCCCCAGCACTTACTGCTTTAAAATCAAACATATTAAGGACTTGGTCTAAAATTCTTATTATGTTTACATTGATCTTTCCGTGTGCTTTTATAAGTATAGTAGAAATAAGAAGAATCTGCCCACAGGAGTAAAGAAATACATTTACTCCTTTTTAGCAGTTCTTACCTGGAAAGGAGTCCTTTTCAGAAGGAAGGACTTATTTAAATTCCCACAAGGGGAAGATGATCTGAGCGCTAATTATGGGTGCACATTGCAAATAGAATAAGCATTAAAGGAACAGCTTGAGTTTTTACATTCTTCTCACCTTAGAGACTCACACTTTAGTTTCTAAACGTTTCCTATTATACATGTTGGAAAATATTTGGTTGGGAGCAAGAGAAACAGTGTATTTCCTGGCGGGGGGGGGGGGTGCGGCGGGGTGGGGCGGTTAATTCTGGCGTGTCTGCGGATTCAAACTGCATTACTCCTGCTCTTGTTCTTTTTCTGGAGCATCGGTCAGGCGGTGCTAGTTCGGCATCAGGTCAGCGTCTATGGAAGAAAGTTCCCAGTCCCGGTTGCTTCCACAGGAGACCCAGGTCTTCCCCAGGAGGAGGACGTGCAAACTCCATTCCAAACTGGATAAACAGGAATCTCCTTGTCACTTTCCTTGGATCTATTTTGCTATTTAAAAATACACACTGGGATCAGTGATGAGGGTCGGGGGATGTTTAGGAAAAGGTCAGCGAGTCCAGAGCCAGATTCTCGGGAGGCAGGCCCGGAGAGTCTTGGGGTTCTCTCGCTTTCCGAGAAGAGTGAAGGGGGAATCTTTGTGATGCAGCGTGATTGCAGGTGACACTTTGTTTAGACCAACTTTTCTGTGCTCGGAAAATGACAGCTTGCAAATCACAAACTGATCATTGCTGTAGGTTCCCACTTCTGCCTTGTCAACCAGGGAGGTCCCAGGAGAGGCGCTGAGGGAGGTGCGGGCCGCAGACAATGCCGGGTGGGGGCGGGGAGGGAGGCGGGGAGAGCACGTTCTCCACGCCCCAAGCTGAGAACACGTTCCGAACCCTGGAAAGGTGCATCCCGGCTGCGGAGACGGTTCGTGTGGCCTGAGTGAGTGGGAGGGGAGAACCCACTGAAGGTGACAATGGACTTAACACTTCACATTTTATCAAGGCCCAAACCACCACCCTGCTCAGGACAGACGGCAAGATGACTTAGGGAAGCAGGGCTCTTCCAGCCGCGGTCTTCGGACCAGCCAGCGCTGCACCACCTGGAAGTCTGTTAGAATGCAAACTCTCAAGCCCCTCCCCTGACCAGCTGAATCAGAATCTGCATTTTAACAAGATCCCCAGGGGAAGGTTATGCACATAAAAATTTGAGGGGTGGTCCCAGCCCTGGTTAATTACCCGGGCCCCTGTGGGTCACAGTGGCTGTAATATGCTAACCCTCCCTGTCAAATGAAGCTCTCACTTTTCAGGAAGCTCTGCAGTCCTTCCTCGGGAAGGACTCTTGGAAATAAAGTAGATGAGAAGTGAATACAGACTCATGTATTACACACTTGCATGTTTTCTCTCTCTCTCTCTCTCTCACACACACACACACACACACACACACACACACACACACACGGGGCACTTCTCAAGACTGCAGGTGCTCCTTCTGCCTTCTTCCCAGAGCCAGAACCCCCCTAGTACCTGTAGGATGGAAAGTTGGTACCCGAGAGAGATTACAGATGGGAGCAGGACTGGAGTGGCCTGCCATATGCCCTGACCGGCTACTTTCTGCTGGCATCATGCCATCAGGCTGGCTTCAGAGGACCCAGCCCTTGGTTTCCCCATCAATTATGGCTCAACACAGGCAGCGTACTTCACCTGAGGTTTACACACATCCCTGCCAACAAGTCAGTAATTCTGAATGGTGACAGGTAGACTCCCCTTTGGAATAGGGTTCTGGCCCTCAGGAAAAATCGCTGGGTCACTGCTGAAAGGACACTTGAAAACATAAGCAGAGTAAGTTCTGCTGGAACCCATGGCAGAAGAGGAGAAGAGGAGCAAGTAGAAGAAAATGACCTCTTTAAGCACATGGCTTTGTCTATAATGGTCAGGGCTGCAGTCTCGCCATATGTAGTATAGGAATTACTCATTAAAGTAGTTGCTGAATGGGCCAGAAATCCATAAACTCCTCTTCATCATCACTGCTTAATAGGAGAGCAAGTTGGTTCTAATTTTTTTCCATTTACCCAGAGCCCTTATATCACTCTGAGATGGAAGGCAGAAGCAAACAACCGCCTACGACTCAAATTCAGGCCTTGCTAACCTCCTTCTGATCTCCACTTTCCTAAGAAGGAATGTCTAGGTCTGATTCTTCAGGCGTGTGATGGATTCTCCATGACCCCCGTCCTCAGTTAGGTCTACTGCTGGCCTTTTGGGCAGGAATAACAGATTACCTCCAAGAATAACATCTAAATGTATGAAAGAGCTCACAGGGCCACCAATACAGATACATATAATTTAGGCATCCCTTAAGAGGAGCTTATTCTCACTCACACTGACATGTTGCTACTGCTACTCAAAATTGTCATTTCTTTATTTTTATCTCTTCTGATTAGTTTAATTACCTGCTTAAGAGTCCCACATATAGAAAGGTGCTAAAGCCTCTACAAGGGTAGAGAGGATGCCAAGAAGATACTAGAAATATTCATCAGACCATGGACCCGAATAGGCAGATCATTGACCTTCTCTACAGGCCTACAAAGATGGGAATGGGATTGACAACTGCTCAACCTGACCACCAAGGAAGCTCACAAAAGATGCACAATGCATAATTGCACCCAACCATCCAAACAGCTATCAAATTCTACATGCATCAGAGAAAGAGATGTGAGCACCAAATTCATTCAACGGGACCTGTGGACAGAGCCTCACCCCTCCCTGGTACCAGGCTAGGAAGTCATTGCCTGAGGTTGGCATGCAAATCGCTTCTCTTCCTCCCTCAACTCAAGAAGGGCACTGACACAGCTCAGAGAACATAATACTGGTTTGTTTTCTGAACTCAAATCCTTGTTCCCTTGGAACGTTGACTTCTTCTTGCACAGGTGAGAACTGAGTGAATATAGTGTAAGTTATTTTGATAAAGTTTCCATGACATAAAATCTAATAGTCTTATATATTTCACTTAAAATAATAAAAAATAATGTCATCATAAAATAATAGTTTATTATATACAATGATACAACTATACTGCAGGAAAAATATAGATTGAAGACATAATCCTACCACCAAACACAACCAGGGTTGCTAGCAACATATTTATCGTTTTTTGGCATTCTTTATTAGGATTTATTTCCCATCTTTTCCTGTGAATCTTGCCCAAGAGAGGTAGATTGTGTGCATGTGTATAAACTTACTGTGTATAAACCTACAATGTCATATTTTACTTTTCTCTCACTTTGAAAATCACTTTCTTGTGTGTGTGTGTTTTCACATAAATCTCCTTTGAAAGATATTCTTCGCTAATTATCTTTTCAATTGCACTCTCTGTAAACAACTGGGATTTTGGCCATCAAAGAGCTATAAAAGCCAGCAAAAAAAGTATCTGAATGTTCAATGCCAAGTAGACTGATTTTGATAGTCTGATTTTTCTAAACGAAATTTCAGAAATAACAACCACAGAAAATGAAATGTTAATTACAACCTTTGACACAACTATATGCCTCTTCTTTATTAAGACTTGGGACTCACCCTGAAAATGCCACTGTGAATGAATAACGGACGGGTGGGTGTCTGATTTCCCCCAAACCAAAGGTTATTTGGAGGTAAAATGTGTATTTTCACAAGATTTTGCTAAGTCACCTTTCTCTGTCTCTTCCGTTTTAATCTCACCTGCAAACTTGTCTGGTAATGCGGTAAATAAAGCAAGGGTCCTACACCTGGTGATCTGAGGTGGGAGCTGATGTAGTAATAATAATAATAGAAATAAAGTGCACAGTAAATGTAATTTGGAAACCATCTCCCCCCACCCTGGTCCCTGGAAAAATTGTCCATGAAACCAGGTCCTTGGTGCCAAAAAGTCTGGGGACAGCCTCCCTAAAGCAAGGCCTGTATTCTCCAAAAGGCTTCCAAAACCGGAATCTTGATCAGCCAGAAGCGCCCGCCCCACCACCACCCTTTGATACTTTATGGGTCATCGTTTTGGGAAGTTGAGTTCTGTTTGTTGATGTCCCTTCCCCACTGGCTAGTTTCACATGATGGAGAGCCACGGGGATGAAGGAGTGTTGCTGGAAATTGCAGGGACACCGGAGGAGGCCCAGATTTGAGTCTCAGTCAATGCGCTGGAGCAGCACCCGGAATAAAATCAGCGCGCGCTAACCCCTAGCATAGTCGTCAGTTATAAGACGGCTTTTACGCAAACCCGGCAGCGCCGGACAAGTCCGGGTAACAGGGGACACGGGCAAAGGAAAGTTTTGCAGGTTTCAGTTCTCCTTCAGATAAGGGGGTGGGGGGAGAGCTGGAGAAACATCTGTTTTCAGTCCGAGTTACCCGCGATCTTTTTTCCTGGAGAGAAGCTCCCGGAGCAATTTACAGCATTCCAGCCTGAGGCTCTCGTGCCAGACGCTCTGAATCAACCTTTAGAAACTCGAGCTGCAGGGAAGGGAAGGAGCCAGAGTCGCAGGGGTGGGAGCGCCCCCTCGGGCCTCGGCGCGGGGACCAGCGGCGGGCCGGCGGCGTGAGCGCTCGCTCCCCGCAGCATCAGCCGGCTGCGCCCGCCTTTCCCGGGGAGGGTCTCCGCGGCCGCGTCACCCGAGCTCCGCGGCGTCGCCACAGGCGGCGGAGGCCGATCTGGGTTTGTGCAGAACTTGGGCACCTGGAAGAAGCGCCAGCCCCCCCATCCCCACCTCCACCCCGCCGAGGCCTTTCCCGAGAGACTGGGAGACGCCGTCGGACGGCGAGAGCGCCTGGATCGCTGGGTTAGAGGCGCCGGCGTCCGTAGGGCTCGGGTCTATCTCGGGGCCGCGTAACCGACAGGGGGAGCCCTGTCACTGTGGAAGCCGGGGACCCAGGGCCGGGCCACTCAGGGGCGCGCCCTCCTCCCCGGGACCGCGCTCTCTTCTGCGGGCGAAGAGGTTTCCAGAACCAAGAGCGTAAAGAGAGGAGTGGACACTCACATAGACGCACATACTAGGTTTACCAGGACGCTCCAGCTTTCCATCTCCTGAACCCCGGAAAGCTGTCTGTCGTTTCTTCGTTTTTACTGTCTGATCTACTGGCTCAAACGGTAATTAATTAGCCTGCAATGCGGTAGACGTGGGTTCGATCCCTAGTTCAGGAAGATCCCCCGGAGAAGGAAATGGCAACACACTTCAGTATTCTTGCCTGGGAAGTCCCATGGACAGAGGAGCCTGGCGGGCTACAGTCCGTGGGGTCGCAAAGAGTCGGACACAACTGAGTGACTAAGCACACACACTCCTGAATGTGAGAAGGGCCCGGCGGGTAAGAGGAAGGGTGTGTGCGCGCGTGTGCGTTTGTGTGTCTGTGTTTCTGCCCTGGGCCTCCTCAGAACGCTTTGAAAAACAGGCCAGTGCGCACCGTCTTTCCCCATCCCTCTGCAGAGTGGTCAGGTGGTTTCCACCCACGCTCAGGGACAGATGAGAGATGCCCAGGGTCTGGTCCCTTCGGCTTCCCCGCAAACACCTACACTGTGTGCCTACACCCAGGGCACTCTCGGGCTGTACCCAGGACCTCCCTGTCCCTCTTTGGGGTCCTCGCTTTCGGGGAGACGCAGACCTTGGCTGTGGGGAACGTTCCCCGGCCCTCGCTCAGCGGGTGCATTAACACCCTCTTTATGAATTGGTCAGACCAGCTGCGCCTGCACCTTTAGCTCAAAGCGCTGCAGGCCCCAGCGCCTGGGAGTAGAGGGAAGAGGTGGGAGTTGCGCCAACCCACTGCTCCGCCCCTGCCCTCTGGCCTGACCCTCACCCGGCCTTCCGCTCTAGATGCTCTGTTCGATGCCTGCCACCTCGCTTCTGTCTTTGGCCACCACTCCCCACCACTCTGGACAGGTGGGGCAGGTATCCACTGTTTTCCTCCCCCCCCCCTCTCTTTTTGGGGTTGGGGACTGAAAGCTGCATCCTCACGGCCCAGCTGGGTTTTTAGAATCAAGAAAGTGTGTCCACCTCCAAAGAGCTGTAGTAGTATTCCCTATCACCCCCACCCCCAAATCCGGCTCACTGAGGTCTCCGTAGCTAACCCAGAGCAGATGATCATTTGAACTGGAAGTTGGATCGAAAATAAAAGGACGAATATGGTGCTAGGGTTGCTAAATCTCATACAACAGTTCCTCGGGAAAGCGGAGACTACAGAGCCCTTCCTCGAGCGGACTCTTTTTGCCCCGGTATTGATTCCTTAATTCCTCTCTCTCCTCTCGCCTCACCCCTCACCTCCGGCCCTGTTTGTTTTAGTTACGAAACGCTGTGGGCACCTCGGTTGTGGCTGAAAAGTAACCTTGAAACACGCCGTCCTGTCAGAGACAGTCTCCCAACCGTCGCAGCTGCTGGCGGGGCCACTTGCGCCCTGCGCCCGGCGCCGGGACAGTGGGACGGGGTTCGTCCCCGCCAGCTTCCCGGTCGGGCTCGGAGGAGGCAAAAAGCCGGGGCGGCGGGACCGCAGGCCTTCCGTAGCCGCTCTGGGTCTTTACTGTAACGGGAGTGGCCTCCCAGCAACAGCGGCCGGGGAGTTCAAGGTGTGTACACAGTTTTGCTACATAGGACAGCGCTTTGCAAACTGGCTCAGTCACCGGCTGGCTGTTTTGACAGTGAGTGAGCCCTGCGAGCGCAGAAACCGGGATAAATAAATGCGGCTTTGATAAGGCTCTGCGGAGCCTGAGCAGAGGCCGGACGCGCCCTCGGGCCGACGTACCAGGCGCCCAGCTCAATGAGACCAGGCCGGGGGGGAGAAGGGTTGGAGGTGGGGGTCAGAGCCCTGGGCCGCTCCGCCGGGTGGCCTCCTCCCGGGTCCCTCCTCCCGCGGGGACGCCCCGCAGACGAAAAGGGGTCTTGGACCCCCCAGGGGCCCGCATCCACCCTCTTCGCTTGCTCATCGCGGCTCCGCGTGCGGGGGTGCGGGGCGGCTGAGGGGGGGGGGGGCGGACAGGTGCGGGGCGCAGGCCGGGGGCTCCCTCTCACCCAGGTGTGAGCTGATTATTCAAATGGACTGCCTGGGGTCTGGGGATTGGAGGCCCGCGCCGGCGCGCCGCGCTATATCACCAGCCGCCCACGTCACTGCGGCACTTGTCCGCCGCGCGGTCCACACCTCTTCCCCCTCCCTCCTCCACCCCTTCCTCCTCCTCCTCCTCCTCCTCCTCTCCGCCCCCCCCCCCCCCGCCACCCGCCCCCGCGCCGCGCGCTTCCCGCCGCCTCGGGGCAGCTCGGCACTGCCAGCCTCGGCCTCCACTGGGCAGCCCGCGAGCGCGGCGGCGGCGGGCGCTCCGGCGGCGGGGCTCGGCTCCGGGCCTCCTCCTACCCCCGGCCCCCTCCTCCCGCGACCCAGCCCTCCCGCCCACTTCCAACCACCGCCTCCGGCCGGCCGAGAGAGCGGGGCCGAGAGACTGGGAGAGCGAGAGGGAGGGAGGGGACCGTGCCTCGGCCGACTTTTTTTTTTTTTTAAAGGAGGGTGGGGGTAGGGGGGTGATTGCCGGTCGTTTGTTGTGGCTGTTAAATTTTAAACTGCCATGCACTCGGCTTCCAGTATGCTGGGAGCGGTGAAGATGGAAGGGCACGAGCCGTCCGACTGGAGCAGCTACTACGCCGAGCCCGAGGTAGGCACTCGGCTTTGCCGGGGAAAGCGGGGTGGCGGCGTCTGCCCTCGGTTCCAACCTCGGGACCGCTTCCCTGGCCGGCTCCCGGGCCCCCGCCTCGCCCAACACCACCCCTAAACACCACCCCAGCCGCTCGGGGCAGCCGCCTTTCCCACCCTCCTTCGACTCAAATGGGTCTCTTTTTTTTTTATACGACACACTGTTAGCCTTGAGATAATATTAACTTTGTGATCAAATATTGACTTGCGGCGCCTCCAAATCCTCTCCGTGGCCGAGCCACGCACTATCCTAACAGAGTTGTGTTTGGCAGCGCGCGGCTGGGGAGGGGTGGGAGGTCGGCCGGCGAGGGGGTGGGGAGCTGCAGAGGAGAAGGTGGGCAGGAGTCGGGGGCTGGGGTAGAGAAAAAAAGGGTCGAGGACGAGGCGACAAAGAGGAAGAAAGTTTGTAGCTGCAGAGCCCAGCCGCCAGCAGCTCAGTTCGCGGTCCCCTCCCCGTCCCGCCACTCAATGTTTCAGGGTGGCCATAGGCTCCGCGCGGGAACCGCTTCGAGGTTCCCCTGGGGACCAGGATGGGGTCCGGGAGGAAAGCTGAAAGGAGAGGACCCTGGGGTCGTCTCCGCGGGAGATCACCCAGAGCCGTGTCCCACAGGTCGCTGGCCAGGGTCGGAGGTGGCGTCCGAGGCAGTGGCGCCTGCTTGGTGTACTGACTTGAGAGTCGGGGAGATTCTGCAGAGGGGAGATGCATTTGGGGTGCCTGGCCCAGCGCGCTCCTGGAGACCCCTGCTGTAGAATCTGAACCGGGCGCAGGAGGGCTGAGGGGTGGTCATGAGCAGTCCCCACGCCCTCTCTCCGAGGGCGATCGCGGCGCGCTCCGGGTGACACGGACGCTGGGTCGGGGCCTGGGCCGGGGCCGCGCGAAGGCAGGACTCCCTGGTGGCCTCCCTGGAGGCGGCGGCCTGGGCTGGCCCGTTGGCCGGGTGTGGGGCGTAGGATGTGGTGTGTGGGGCGGGAGTCCGGCCAGCCGGCCGGGCGCTCTCCAGCCGCGGTGCTAACGCTATGCGCCTCCCTTCGGGCTCTGTCCTCAGGGCTACTCCTCGGTGAGCAACATGAACGCCGGCCTGGGGATGAATGGCATGAACACGTACATGAGCATGTCGGCGGCCGCCATGGGCAGCGGCTCGGGCAACATGAGCGCCGGCTCCATGAACATGTCGTCGTACGTGGGCGCGGGCATGAGCCCGTCCCTGGCCGGCATGTCCCCCGGGGCTGGCGCCATGGCCGGCATGAGCGGCTCGGCCGGGGCGGCCGGCGTGGCGGGCATGGGGCCGCACCTGAGCCCGAGCCTGAGCCCGCTCGGGGGGCAGGCGGCCGGGGCCATGGGCGGCCTGGCGCCCTACGCGAACATGAACTCCATGAGCCCCATGTACGGGCAGGCGGGCCTGAGCCGCGCGCGCGACCCCAAGACGTACCGGCGCAGCTACACGCACGCCAAGCCGCCCTACTCGTACATCTCGCTCATCACCATGGCCATCCAGCAGAGCCCCAACAAGATGCTGACGCTGAGCGAGATCTACCAGTGGATCATGGACCTCTTCCCCTTCTACCGGCAGAACCAGCAGCGCTGGCAGAACTCCATCCGCCACTCGCTGTCCTTCAACGACTGCTTCCTCAAGGTGCCCCGCTCGCCCGACAAGCCCGGGAAGGGCTCCTTCTGGACCCTGCACCCCGACTCCGGCAACATGTTCGAGAACGGCTGCTACCTGCGCCGCCAGAAGCGCTTCAAGTGCGAGAAGCAGCTGGCCTTGAAGGAGGCCGCGGGCGCCGCGGGCGGCGGCAAGAAGGCGGCCGCTGCCGCCGCGGCGCAGGCCTCGCAAGGTCCGCTCGGAGAGGCGGCCGCCGGACCCGCTCCCGAGACTCCGGCGGGCACCGAGTCGCCCCACTCAAGCGCCTCCCCGTGCCAGGAGCACAAGCGAGGGGGCCTCGGGGAGCTGAAGGGGACGCCGGCCTCGGCGCTGAGCCCCCCGGAGCCGGCGCCCTCGCCGGGGCAGCAGCAGCAGCAGGCCGCGGCCCACCTGCTGGGCCCTCCGCATCACCCGGGCCTGCCGCCCGAGGCCCACCTGAAGCCGGAGCACCACTACGCCTTCAACCACCCCTTCTCCATCAACAACCTCATGTCGTCAGAGCAGCAGCACCATCACAGCCATCACCACCACCAGCCCCACAAAATGGACCTCAAGGCCTACGAACAGGTGATGCACTACCCCGGCTATGGGTCCCCCATGCCGGGAAGCCTGGCCATGGGCCCGGTCACGAACAAAGCGGGCCTGGATGCCTCGCCCCTGGCCGCAGACACCTCCTACTACCAGGGGGTGTACTCTCGGCCCATTATGAACTCCTCGTAAGAAGACAGCGGCGACCCGGCTAGCCCGGGACCCAGATGGGAGAGACAGGAAGTGGGGTGGAGACTCTGAGGAAGGGCTGCTGGAAAGGTGCAAGGGAGAAGAACCCTTCACACCCTGCCCCGCCCCCCCCGCCCCCCGGAGGTCTCCCCTCGCCTTCTGCAGTCCTTTCCTCCCTCACGTGGGCCACACTGATGTCTATCATCCTATGTAAGGAGGAAAAAAGAAAAAGCTAAACAGTTTTTAAAAAAGAAAAAGAAGAAAAGCCTCTGTTTCCACTACTGTGTAGACGCCTGCTTCTTTAAGAACCTGCCAATTCTTGACTTTTTGTTGTTGTGGTTCCTCTTCATTGCTGTCGTTGCAGGGAAGTCTTACTTTATTAAAAAAAGAAAAAGTAAAAAACACAAACTTTTGTGAGTGACTCGGTGTAAAACTATGTAGTTTTAACAGAAAACAGAGTTGTACTATTGTTTTAAAAAGAGAAAAAAAAATAATGTAAGGGTCTGTTGTAAATGCCCAAGAAAAGAAAAAAAAAAAAAGCATTCCCATTCTTGATACGGTGAAATCCAGGTCTCAAGTCTGACTAATTTATGGTTTCTGCGTGCTTTATTTATGGCTTATAAATGTGTGTTCTGACTGCAAGGACCAGAGTTCCACAAATCTATATTAAAGTGTTATTGCCAGTTTTTTGCTTTGAATCTTCAAGATTTTTTTCCTTTGCCTGATTTAAAAAAATAAACATATCCGGGATTTATTTTAAAATTGAGGGAGGGAGATCCTGACTGGTTGCAGGTTTTATTTTATTTGGGGGGAGATGGTTGCTGCTTTATCAACACTTTATTGTTAACATTTTCAGACAAACTTAAAGTTGAATGAATTTTACAGTAAACAGACATACCCGTTGCTCAGATCCTACAGTTCTCAGCTCAGTATGCTTGTTACACTGAGTGTCTGACCATCTATCCATACATCCATCAGTCCACTTACATTCTTAGATGCATTTCATAGTAAATTTCAGACTTCAGTACACTTCACCCGAAACACTCCAGCAAGGACATCATTAATGGAACTCAACATTGTTCAAGGTTACTTTTTGAATTTTGAGTTTAACTTTACACAAAATGAAACTCAAAGATACCAGGTGAACCATTCTGGGGGTTACGGGGTTGATGCAGGTTCATCTCCAAAGCCTGGCAAAAACCACACACCATTTCCATATTTTCCAGCTGGACCATGTGAAGGTGAAATGTTGTTGACATCTCTTGCACCCTGGGGCTGGTTTCTCTGGGAGAAAAAAAAAAAAATCCTGGATTTTCCTTTTTTTTTTTTCTTTTTTTTCTGTATTCCCAATCCTTGGCCTACCTTCAGACTTGCAAACTCCTGTGCAGCCCTTTTCCTTTTCATCATTGCCTCTCTGCACCCATTCACCTTTTCCTGGAATTGGGACTCTGCCTGGATTCGACAACCACAGGCCTCTGTTTAGGATCCACCACCACCACCCCCATCCCACCCTCTCCCTTCACTTAGATGTTCTGCACAACTTTGGTAGAACTTGCTGCAGCCCAGAGATAGTGAGGCTTCTGGAATCATGCATTTGAGCATTTGGTCTGGAGAAACAAAGGACTTTCTCCTGGAAGTGATTTTAAAGGGATCTCAGAGTTCTTGGAAATCTTTAAATATAGGTATATTGGGGAATGAGGCAGAGGTAAGAGGGTGTCCGGCATGTCTGGCCAGGTGCCCCTTGCCAGGGGTTAGATTCCAGGGGTCTGCAGGTTTGTGCCCTACCCTCCAAACTCCTGAGACCTTGCCAAGTGAACTGTTAGGCCGGGCTAGCAAGCCAGGATTACAGGGCCAAGGGGATGAGTGGGTATGCTGTGATCCTTAAAGGAAAACCCCAAAGCATAAAGAAAGACCGAGAATAAATCCTTACAAATCACACTGCCTCCCTTCAAAAATAGCCTAGCAGGAGTAAAATCAGGACCAAGAAGAGCGGAAACCTCAGAAGCCAAGCGGGAGTTGTGTGGGCAGAGTGGGCTCGATTTGGTTTTGCTGGAGGCATCTGCTGGCCTGCCAGCTGGCCAGGCTAGAGCAGGAGCCAGTGGGCTCTAGGGGTCCCGGGAGACTTGGGGTCATCCAGGGCACAGCTAGCTTGCATAGGGTGAAAATTTTTGGAGTGAGAAGCCGAAACTTTTGGCCTTGGGTTTCTAAGCCCAGGCTCCCGTGTCCGGACTAGATCTTTGGGCTTCTTGACCACCCAAACTTGGAGTGTCCCTGGCAGTCTCCCGAAGCCTGGACACCACCTGTCAGATCGCCCTCTGCCACCTCGCGGGATCTCTGCCCCTCAAACCCTGGCCTTCCCACGCGGTTGAGGGGGGTTTGTCCTCGCCTCTGCCTCCCTCCTCCAAATCCCTTTTTAACATGCCACATTGTCCCGAAGAACACAAGGAAGAGAAATTGGGGAGGGGGAGGGGGAGGGAGAGGGGAGGAGGGGATGGGGGAGGGGGGTAGGCGATCCGGAGGCCGAAGCCAGCAATCAGGGCCGTCTCTCCCCCTGGCAGGGACACACACGTCGTGAGCCCAGCCTGAAATGTGTTTCATTATCACATAAAAGGCTCCTGCGGCGAAGGAGCCGAGAGGCAGGGCCGGGGGCCGAGTGCGGGACAATGAGGGCTGAAAGCGCTGCCCTAACCTGCTATGTTTCCTATCGCACGCCCATTGTGCGAGGGTCGTTTTAAACTACTTAGCGCTCCCCCCTCCACTGATCCCTGCCGATAAGATATAGTTCTGTTGGAATACTTAAAAAGGATGCCGGGGAGCTGGACGCTCCGGAGGCTTTTCGGCGCATCCTGAATCTTTCGGCCCAGCCCCTCCTCCCGCCAAGGCCCCCAGCTTAACTGGCGCTCACACTGCCCTCCGCCTGCGTCCCCCAACTCTGCGTAGTAGGGTGCAGCGTCTCTTTTTCCCTCCCTCGCCCTCTCTTTTCCTTCCTTTTCCGCGCGGGTTTAAGCAACCGTGATCTGTGAATAAACAGTCAGTAAACAACCGAAAAAAACATTCTAGATCCGAATTCCAGGAGGGTAAACTTTCCAGGCCACGTCACACTTCAGCAAATTTGCACAGATATTATATTGCCCCCCCTCCTTTATTCTTTTTTTTTTTTTTTTGCAGGATCCCATTGTACTTAACTGAATTTTATAACGCTGATCGATATCTTGGTAAAATATTCATTTTTAAACTAGCGGGCAGTGAAATCTTTGCTTTGTGTGCTAAAGTCAACAGTCGCTCGGTTTGAGCTCAAATAAATGCGGGGATGCCTCGGCTCAGAGCAGTCGGCCGCCTCCCTCCGCGCGCTGGACGCTCTGCCGCCGCGGCCCGTCCGCCCTCCAGCCCGCCCGCCGCACCGCAGGTAGGGAGTGCGCCCCCCACTCCAGTCCGCGCGCCTCCCCGCCCCCAGCCAGCCCCTAGCCCTACCCTGGGCTCCGAGGCCTGAGGGGCGGGGAAGGAGCGAGAAGCCAAGTCGGAGAGAATCCGGGGTTGGGGAGGTGGCCTTTTTGCGGGCAATTCTGAGGATGCTAGCTGTTGGGGAACCCAGAGTGAACCTGGGTCCTGCTCACAGCTGGAAAGTTTGGCGGGGTCCCGAAGCGCCGGGAAGACACCGCAGGCTCCCGCAGCCTCTCGGGCGGGGATTCGATCCGAGGGCCTCCTGTCGCCCTGGGACAGTGGGGAGGCGGGGGTGGGAGCCGGCCTGGGCCTCAGAAGCTGGGGTGGGGGAGGCGGAAGATGGCGCGCTGGTCCTGGGAGGCTGCAGAGGGAGGCCCGAGCGTGGGTTCCAGGGACGTGGAGGCCCAGCGACGGTGGGGGCCCCGCCGTCCGGGAGCCGAGGAGGGGCAGCGCCTTTCCCAGCGGCAGGGGAAGCCCGGGTTCTTTCCGCGAGAGCGCAGGACCGCAGGAAAGTCCGGGAGCCTCGGGGCCACTAATCGGTTCCAGGAGGGAAATGCTGAACCCGGCCGCGGGGCGGTTCCTCGACCGCTCCCCCCCGCGCTGGCCCAGAACACCGAGTTTGGAGGGATCGGACAGACGGTGTCGCCCCGCGTCCCTTCCCCGGGCCTCTGATGGCGCCAAGTCACCGCTCCCAGCATCTGCCCCCCGCCTACGGGAAAGCGCCCTCTCGGAAAACTAGTGGCTCCGAGGCTGCCAGTTGACACCGCAGGACCCTTGGCTGTGGAGAGCAGGGTAGAAAAGGTGTTTTTTCCCCTGGGGTCTACCAGGTGTTCCTCCCCACTCCCAAATCTGCATTCTGCCTGAGGATTTGCTTTCTAGGGCTGGGTGTCTGACTCGTTGGAGGCTTGCGCCGGTTCAATCAGTTTGGTTTTTCGCCAGGACGTAGGTCGCGCTAGGTCTCAGACCACCGAAATTACCCGCCACCGTGACTGGAAAGTTTCTTCCCTTCCTGCCACTGTCACCCACATCTCAAACCCAAAAGGCCAGATATCGGTCCTGATAATTGTCAGGGTCAGTTCTGTGGACAACTCCCTGTGTGGAGAGCCTGGGCACCCGTCTCCTTCCCCCGTCCCCGTGGGGCGGCGTGCGCCTTTGTCCACCGCGCCCAAGGCCGGCTGGGGTGCCCGCCTGCCCTGCCGCGCTCCCAGCCCGGCTTCGGTTCGCTTAGCTGGTTATCTTCCCTGAACGAAACTGCTCGCCTGCGGGACACACGCGAGGCTAATCGTTTTTAAATAATTAATGCCTCCCCGTTCCGCTGGTAATGCGCGGCCTCGAATCCGTCAATTACTTGTCATTAGATGGTGTCGCCCCAAGTCCTTTCCCCGGGTCTCTGATGGCGCCGGGTCACCGCGCCGGCCCACTCCACGGCCGAATAAAAAAGGTCCCTGGCCTCAGAGCCGGTGCGGAGTAGCCGCGGCCCTTAATTCAGTGTTTTGAAAGAAAGACCCTCGCTGAAGAGATGTAATCTTCCAAATGGCCAATTTAAACGCCTGATGTTTATC